AAGCACTGAGTGCAAAGGACGCGACGGCTTTACTCAAGGATCCTGCGATACCTTTTACCTTTTGCTGAAGGAACATAACAGCAAGGTGATGTTAAACCCATCTCGCGCTAGGTAGCAGATTGGAGAGTGCGTCATTACATTGACTGAAACCCGTAAACCAAAGATTCCGACATACGGTGACGGCACTTTCCACAAGAGTACTGCGATATCATCAACGCTCTCTTCTATGCAAAGCAAAAATCAAATTTGGCGAAAGGGTATTTACTCGTCGCTGACGTTTTGTATCAGAAAGACCAGCGAGAGGTGCCAAATTGCACGTTCCTATATCATGGTAAGAACAAACAGCGCAAGCTCCGATACATTATATACATGCGCTGCAGAACAACATGGCCAATTGCACCTTATTAAATGCTTTTGACTTAGCTAAAAAAATTCTGCCATTGCTCTCAAGAAACAGTGAAATCCTTCTCACTGCAATGAGTACTCCGAGTGGGAGCTTTGTTGGCAGCTGGTTATTTCCAAGAAGCTGTCAAATGCGCCAATCGCGTTGAAATGTTTAATGCTGTATTTTGTTAGGCCGCATCGCGCTTTGGCGCAGATCTATTTGATGATATTTTTGTCTAGCCGTGCACAGCACGGAAAATCAGACGCGGATCTCCACGCTTGACACTTGCGAGCAATGGTCCATTTCTTAAGCTGTTCTCCTGTCTTACTACTGTGTTCGTGGCGTCCACAACCTTTTCTTCCTGGGATGCTTTATTGAATAAAATGACCTGCAAGTGCATCCAGCGATGATTAAGGCCGTTGTACAAGCAGATTTTACAAAGCCGCCTTAGGTTTTAGGGGCCACTGTTCCAATATGACAGGGTTTGGCTTGGTATGACCACCTTCTTGCGCGATTGTAGTGCAAATTACGCCATTTCGGTACGGTCCAGTACCAAGTCTCTACGAAAGGACTGTTCAATGGCGCTGGGGCGCGACAAAAGTGGAAGCATAAAAGGCTTTCAAGCTGAGCCTTATGGTACTTCAAAATTCGGGTCAGCCATTCAATATTGTTGGTGACCATTCGGCCTTTGCCACAGGCTGCACTTTTCTCAAGTAGATGCAAATGGGCATGATCGCGTAATAACATTTCATTTCGGAAATTTGAGCAGAAGATAAATATTCAGCTCGTAGCACAAAGCAATTTGCTTCGATGTAAACTCATAACAAGCTCAGGGAGCAATGTAGGCTCTAAATTATTTGTTACCTACGCAGGTGATCATGCGTCGGTATTTACAACGACGTCTTCACTCATATCTCGCAAAAAATGGCAAAAATATCTTTCTCTTCCGCGAATACTTTGCCGATTTCTCCAAATGTAGGTGCGATTGAAATTTCTGCCGTCCCGACTATGAGATTATCTTTTAAGAAATGATGGGTTTGACGTGAGCTGTTGAAAGCATACCATGATCCCGCTCTTACAAACTATTCAAATTTGAAGCACTCTGTTGAAGATTAAGCAACGTAACAATCATTATCTGTAGCTAATCCAACCTTATATCAAGATAAGCGATACGGCTCTGAGTCGCTTGGCGTGCTAAGCCACTCTGTACGATGTTGCAGTTCGGGGAGCGCATACATAAACTGGATCAAGACAATAGAGACTACACGCGAATATTTTTGGAGAGAGTGAATAGGCCGCCTTCATGAAGGTGATTCACAAGAGCTAGTCACGAATGGGTCGTCTTCCGCTGACTTTGCTCTATGAATATGATGGGACTTAGTCTTTGCGGAATGTATGGCGCGTTGGCGGGCTCAAAAGTGGTGTTATCAGTAGCTGGTGAGACGGGAGGTGTCCTTCCACGCTAAGACCTTGGGGTGTTCAGGCCGTCGGTAAGTTTGCACTGATATCGTTGCCTCAAACTACTTAGCTTATCCTCTGACTTAATCGCTTCCGATGAATAGACACGGTCGTCCAGCCAACGCATACCCTATTAATGAATGCTGTCTCAAGATCGAGACTTGACCAACAACTGAGCCCACAGGTTTATAAAGATGATAAGATTTGCAGGAAACAAGAACTTACGGTTATACGCAATCGCTAAAACGCTTCGTGGTGATTTGAGGGGGGTCAGAAAGTGCTCGTGATGAGTCTTATAAGCGCTCCTTTGATCTATGTTTGAGCCGAAGGCCTACTCGCATAAAGGCGTAAAAGATTTACTTCGGAGCGATTCTGATGAATTAAATCTATGATTACGACGTGATCAAGCCTGCAAAGGCGCTGCAACACTTTTGCTTACAGATGGGCCAGCTTCGCCCGTTGATGAAGATCCGACATATTGATCACAAGATGAGAGTTGAATTGGGCTCTGTGACAGGGTATCGTAGCACCCTTTGCCCTAAGGAGTGAGTACTCAAAGTGCGCAGACATAAGGCGAACCGTTGAAGCGAGTCCCATACCTTTGGAGAGGTCCCATTGACGGAGATCGGTGTTGCCGGGCGAATAAAATGTGCCGAGTCGAGTCCCTGAAACTGCTGTCATAATTTTTTTCAGATGTTTTAGCGAATATATAGTTTAGAATCGTAGGCCACGACGGCGGCGCTTTCTATAACAACTCTTCGAGCAATATAGTCTCTTGGTAAAAAGCGCGATGCAGGTACTGTACGATGCAAGTGCAGGAGGAGAAGTCCGTGGTCAATAGCAGATTGTTGTTCACTATTACACAATCTCGTTAATTGACCAATTGAGTGTAATACACATCTAGGGGTCCAACGGTGTATATCGTGTTAATGTGTGCGTTTACATCACAATTTTCGCCCCTCAAAATTACATCAAAGCCATGAAGCTCAAAACTAACGGTATTGACGAGGGAGATGAGGATGACGTAGAGGCTAAGCTCGTGCGAAATCGGGGATGCCAACTTCACGCAGTGCAATACGTAATTATATGATCGATGAATATAACATATATAATTCAGCACTAAATCTAACGAGGGTTGATTTCAAATATGTGTCACTTTAAAGCTAAATTAGCAAAATTGATTGTTATTACGTTACAAGCTCTCGGCTTCGCTCCTGGGTGGGGCGTTGGAATTCAATTTCTGTGCGTTCGTTAACGCGGACTCGTAGAGTTTAAGCTTCCTATGTACGTGGTGTACGGCAACACAGTTGCACCTTTGGGTCTACTACAGCTACTTGTTAGAATTTGCCAAAGCTACTGCTGCGATGCGTAGCTTTATATTATGTCATCTAGGGTTTTGGGCATATCGGCTTGAACACGTAAAAGCAAACTCCTCGTGTTTACGTTTGCGCGATTAAAAGGGATAAGAATACAGCGTTTACAGATAATTATCTATGCGTATTATTATTGTGACGGGGCACACGGCACCTTGCTCAGAGGAAGCTTGACTTCCAAGAGTATGCAAACTCTAAGTGAACGGCAGTTCACAGAT